TCAGAGATCACACAGCTTGGTCTTTGTGAGATTTTATGGCCTAATAAACCCCAATCCTATGGTCCCTCTTGCATTATACTCAGGTCTACAGCCATGCCCCTGGCAAAGATTTGTGGTAACCCTCAAATTCAACCCCTGGAGCTCTCTCAGACTTGTCTGTTTCTCTCCATCAACACTGCTACTAACTCAGTTTGAATCTTAATCCTCTCTTCCTGGATATCTATAATGGCCTTCTCTTTAGTCTCAGCTTCCAATCCATTATCTGCACTGCCTGCTGAAAGAATCTTTAAAGAACTAATTTGATCTGATCACTTTCCTGCTTTAATTCCTACAAGAGCTTGACATTAGTTTTATGATGATAAAATCCAAACTCAAACACTGCTTTCAAGGTCCTGTGTGACCTATCCCAGGTGACTTCTATAAAGTATTTCTTACCCAATTCACCTCCCCCAACTCCACGGTCCAGCCCTACTGTGTGTTCACCTTTCATGCCACCTGGAAATTTTTTCCCTCCATTTTCTGCTTAGACAGCATCTCTCTAGGAAGTTTATTTTGACCCTCTCTCCCACCCTAATCTCTAAAGTGATCCTGTTATGCATTCCCTTAGTCCTTATCACAAAAGTCATACTTGCTTCTTTATTTGTCTGCATCATTGGTTTACAATAAGACGCACAAGGGCAGGTCTTTGTCTCCTTGAACATGTATTCCAACTCCTGATTAATAAAAGGCATTTGAATATGCATTGAATAAATGAAGACTTACATCAAAAATCCATTTCATGTAGAAACACAGTTCTTAAGTCTTTCTGAAAATGTAACTCTACAAATAAAGAAAAAGTAGTAGCTCTGTGAGCTGAAACAACTCCACCTATGAGCCGTCATGCCATCTGACATCACTGGATTTCAGCTCCAGGTCTTCTTGACCTGTCCAAATAGAGCCTGAGCTCAGACAATATCGCTCAAATTAGCAGCTCATGTATATGGTTCTTAACCTAATAATTTGAGTATTTACCCGATGGCTGATCACATCTACACAAAACATTTTTCTTCCTAACTGTTAATTTTTCAAAGAAACCAGCAGTGTGCTTCAGATGTAGAGAATAGACTTGTGACAGGGAAAAGAGAGGATAGAGTGAACTGAGACAGTAGCACTGACGTATATACACTACCATGTGTAAAACAGAGAGCTGGTGGGAAGCTGCTGCATAACACAAGGAATTCAACTTGGTGTTGTGTTTCACCTAGAAAGGTGAAATGGTGGAGGGGTGGGGGGGCCGGGGGAAGTCAAGGGGGAGGAGATGTATGTATACATATAGCTGATTCATGTTGTTAGACAGCAGAAGCTAACATAGCATTGTAAAGCAACTACACTCCAATTGAAAAGCAAATTTAAAAATTGCTTTGGAAAAATCTCTCAATAATACAGTACAATCATTCATTTATTTCATAAATATTGATTAGGCAGAGACGTATGCCCAGACCTATGCTACAATATGATGATAAAGTAATGAACAAGACAGGCACATTCTTTGCCGGGAGATTGAAAACTTTACATAAGGGTTACTAAAAAAAAAATAGACAAACATTATTATTATGGTTTTCAGCAGCCAAAGCTCCGACTTTTACAAGTGTTAGCTATCAGCTGAGGGGATGATTTTCACAATAGATTTATAAAAATTGTAACACTGGGAGACTTCTCCGGTGATCAATGGCTAAGACTCTGTGTTCCCAATACAGCGGTCCTGGGTTTGGTCCCTGGTCAGGGAACTAGATCCCACATGCCTCAACTAAGAGTTACTATGCTGCAGCTGAAGATTCCACATGCCACAATTAAAGATCCCAGATGCTGCATTGCAACAAAGACCCAGCACAGCCAGACAAGTAAATATTGTAAAACATTGTAACAACTAAAACAACATGGTCTTTAGGAGAGAAAACACAGAAACTGAAATTGAAGGCTTTGGCAATTGGAATATCTTCACTGAAGATTATGAAAGAAACCATATAGACTTGTATCAACAATGGGCGATTGCTATAGCCAGAATCAGCACAAAATGTCTGGATAAAGAGATTTTTATGTTTATTTCCCAGCAATCTGTTATATTCCTTCATTTAATCCTCATAGCCACCCTGAGAGACAGATAAGGCAAGTATAATACTCATTTTAGAGTTGAGGAAATTAAGGCACACAGGCATTGACTCGCTTTTCTTCACTTTATAAAGTAATGGCAGGATAAGAAGTAGAAGCTCTATCTTTAGTCCATTATACAGGGTCTGGTTTTAAGAATACAGCACAGTGTTCTGTCATGACCCTGACTCATGTGTCTTTTACAAAGCTGTAGAAAATGCAGGTGGGCAAATGTAGTTAGTGTGTTTATTCACAGTAAATGATCTCTTCTAATTCTTTGTTTGGTCCTATTACAGATTCTAATTACTGCCATTGGAGGATATGCTTTTATTTGGAAACAGCTTTAAGAAGTTTATTAAAGTACTTATGATAGAACATCTGTGATCTCTTTGGGATTATTTATCATTCCCAGTGTTATGCATGATTCTTTCACTATGCTTGTCTAGTTTTCCATGTCATTAGAGAAGTTTAAAGACTTCTCTGCTCAGTGATATAGTTACAAAGAATGGCCAAATGTATATGACATGGTAGATTTTACTTCCCTCAGAAGCAGAGGGTGCAGCCAGCACGGCCCCTGCTCTTTCATTCTGAAATCCTCAGGAGACAACTGCTGGTATGCCAGGAACAGTGTCAGGATTTGTGAGAAACATCCTGGTAACTTCAACGTTGGTCCCAGAGGAGTTCACAGATGTTTAAAGAAGCCTTGACACGAAGCAGGCACCTGTGAAAATATCAATAACTCCTTCCACAGACGTTTCTGTGGGCCTCCTGTATGCCTGCTCAATTGCTAGATGCTGAGGATAAAAAAGATGGAGACAATGTCCCTGTACTTCAGTAGGGATCTAAAAATCTAAAAGGTTTTCAGCTGGAATTTACAAGCAGTTCTGCTTTTGTGACATTATTTCATCTAGTTTTCATAATCACTGCAAAGTATATCATCCCATTTCATGGATAAGAAACCAGAGGTTCAGAAAAAATATCTCTTTCCCAAGATCACAAGAGTGGTCACAAAAGAGTGGCCAGGTCGAGACTCAAACACATATCTTAAGACTCAGAGTCTCCATAGTTCTCCCCATAGTTGTATTAAGGAGGTTTATTCTAATAATTATGCCTCAATGATATTTTCTTTATGGAAAGAAATTGTTTTCAATGAAAACAGATTATTGATTTAGGACAGTTATCTGATGCTAAAAAGACAACAAAAAGCAGAGAGAGATTCATCTCTTAAATATGTAAAATTGTGGGAAAATGGGAAATGAATCAGGATACAAAAGTAGCCAAACAACCCGCTGAGGGAAAAGGTGTGGATAAAACATTTTTAAAATGTTTTTCTCTTAACTCACTATCATGCTTACTGCAGGACTCAGTGAAAAACAGTAAGTTTAAAGAACTGTGGTGAATTTTGATTGTAAAATGTTTATTGTTTCTCTCATGTGAGATCCTTCCTATATATAAAGATCCCAATAATTATAGCCTGGCAGGTAACTTTGGAAATACAAGCAAGAAACAAGAAAACATGTTTCTCAAGAATTATGAGCATTTCTTATTTATCAATATCCATTTCCTCCTTCTATTTTTAGCCACTGATATTTATAACAGTTTAAAAAATGAAGAACCAATGTAAAAGCAGTTTTCCGAAAATAAAAAAAAAAATCTAATGCTGTGTGAAACACACACAAATTCAGGGAACTTATTGTTGACTATCAGTTTTCTTTGGCTTTTTTCCATATGCCCCTAGCTGAGCACTAACTCAGTCACAGCAAGCACCTCAATCAAGTGTCCTCAATTAGGTTGAAGCAAACTAAATTTATTCCCAAGAAAGGAGTTAAACACCACTAAATAAAATCAGTAGCATCTGAATTGCACATTATCATCTATATAATGCTATGCTATTTAATTACTGCCATTTATCCAAAGTACTCTACATTTTCAAACAAAGGTATGCTCAGCATACTTTGATCAAATACTTGTGACTTATCGTGGTTATTCCTATACATTGAGGAAATTAGAGTAAATACCAAACTGCATGGTTTCTCCAAAAGAGTTTAGGCAAACTAGGGTGTCTCATTCCATCAGAAAAGTGGGCACTGGATCTCTAAGGAGAAAGCAGCTTTATCCTGGGGAAATGTTTTCTAGGACTCCACATTCACCATTTTGCCACCCCAAATTAGAGGCAGGAATTGAGTTAGAGACTGACGTCAGCAGCACCCAATCAGAACCAATCTTCCGGTTAGGTTGTCCATAACACATACAGATTCTAAGCTCACTGGCACCCTCTTCTTATACATCAACAATGCTTCATCTGATTTTCCATCCTCTGTCTTTATAAACTGGGATCAGAAGGGATGACTGGAGACTACAGAAATGGAAAGGTTGCTTTTGTCCTTAGATCTCTGTTGGTATCAGTAGCTTGGTGGTTCCCTCTCCCATCAAAGCCAAGCCTAAAGGCTGAGTACCTGAAAAAGCCTGGATAGTTTCAGTCAGTCAGTCAGTTCAGTCGCTCAGTCGTGTCCGACTCTTTTCGACCCCATGAATCACAGCACGCCACGCCTACCTGTCCACCACAGACTCCCAGGGTTTACTCAAACTCATGCCCATCGAGTCAGTGATGCCATCAAGCCATCTCATCCTCTGTCGTCCCCTTCTCCTCCTGCCCTCAATCCCTCCAAGCATCAGGGTCTTTTCCGATGAGTCAACTCTTTGCATGAGGTGGCCAAAGTATTGGAGTTTCAGCTTCAGCATCAGTCCTTCCAATGAACACCCAGGACTTACCTCCTTTCAGAATGGACTAGTTGGATCTCCTTGCAGTCCAAGGGACTCTCAAGAGTCTTCTCCAACACCACAGTTCAAAATCCTCAATTCTTCGGTGCTCAGCTTTCTTCACAGTCCAACTCTCACATCCATATATGACCACTGGAAAAACCATAGCCTTGACCAGACAGACCTTTGTTGGCTAGTTTAGGTACACCTTTTTCCTGAATCTTCCCAGCAAAACAATAGGACAATCACTAGTATCTCCATGTTACAGATGTAACAAATTAGGCTTGAACAGGCGAGAGGAATGCCTTAGGCTCCCAACAGCCTGTCCAGGCTCAAGGCCTCTGACCTTTCCACTATTACATGCTACCTGTTAGGGGTTTTGCTCCATGAGTCAGGGAATATCTCCATATGTTCTTTTCTGTCCTCCTTTAACCCTATTTCTCAGTTCTGCTTTCCCCAGTTTCCATCATGTTACCTCACAGCAGAATTCTGCTGGTAGACACAATACTTTCGGGTTTCTTTTGTTTGTTTGTTTTTTGGTTTTTGGTTTTTCATTTAGATGCAATACTTTTGAATTGATACCCTAGTTCAACTATCTGCTTGGTTGTCTCTATCAATTTCTGCTCTACATACTTCTACTTTAGAAGCTCCTGGGGTTTCAATCCTGTACCCAGTTCAGGCCCCTAGGACACAAGACTTATGTCTAGAACAGAGTTTGGATGAGTAAATGGTCATTTATATATGCTCCCATCTTTTTCTTCAAGCATTATGAGGAAAGTCTTGCAATAGGAAAGAGACAGGAAAGAAGTGAGTGGAAAGGGAAGGAAGAGAATAAAAAAGCCTGTCCTTAAAATGCCAATTCTCACTCAAACTGGGTCCCCTGTCATTCTGTGAGACTTAAGGCCATCTGTAAAATTGGGCTCAAAGTTGGCAGGAGGCTAAGGTCAGATCCAAGCACCTGCAAACAAGTTACATATCAGAGGACATTTGAAAACAAACATAACTGTTTGACCAAAATCCCACAACTCTACAGCAAAGCTGTGCCTAGGAGCACATGGTCCATTAATAACAGAAACCATGTATCTACTGCTTACCATGTGCTGAGAACCATGGGAAGATCTTTACTGACATGTTCTAATTAACACTGTGAGGTGGGCATTATTGTACTCATTTACAAACAATGGAACTGATGCAAGAAAGAGGTTCAATGTCACAGGTCTAGTAAAAACCAAAACCTGTTTTTCAACCCAGGTATATTGATTTCAAAGGGCACATTCTTAGCCATTATGCCATTCTACCTCCAAATCCCTCTACAGAGCTAACATATTTCAATCAAAATATTTACCTGGTCTTTAAAATAACTGCATTCAATATACTTTGGGAACTACAAAGAACCTTAGTCATTTTTCTTAACATTGCCTAACTGATCGGCCTAGGATTTTATCATCTGAGTCAATGACTGCAAATATTACATCATCTCAGACTAAGGACCAGACTTCACATTTATTCAGCAAACATCTGAGTGACTACTATGTGTCTGGCTTACCTGGAACTTGGCTCTCAGGATCTGGTTGTGCAATAATCACAATCTATGGCTCCCAAGGTGCTCACAACCTAGTAGATGAGACCAATGTGCAAGGAGATGGTTATTATTCAATATGGCAGCTACCTCTGAGCTAGACCCAAAATGTGCTTAGAAGAGGCAGACCTAAAAATGTTTGCTAGAGAGCTAAGGTTTTAAAGATGAACTCCTCCTCACTCAAGAGGCAGAGAAGAGGGTGGTCCATGGAGCAATCTCGGCAGGACCAAAGGTGTGGATGTGAGAAAGAGGGTGGTGTGTTTAGGGTGCCCTATCTTCCAGTCTGTGTTTTAGCATCTGTTATCTAAAACAACAATAAACACGGCTATGGCTACATGAGGCAAGAATTTCCAACTGCACTGTGTTCTTTGGCTCAAAATATTCTTCATCATCTGTTTTATTTGTCTAGTGTACACAAAAGACATAAAAGATAAGGTGGGAACTTGTCCAGGTGAGGTCATTAACTACCCAACCAAGGCCTTGTCTAGAAGTCTTCCTTCTATATGGAAGAAACAGGGAACTGAAACAAAGGTTTAATAAAAGAAAGAAAAAAGGGGGTGGGGAAATAAGAAGAAAAAAAGTTATTTCTCAGCTAAGACCTAACAACAGCTCAGGTGAAACAATTTTATCTCAATATATTTGAGTTTTTCTTCTGTTGTCAATCACAACACTTGAATAAAGCTATCTCAGAAATCACCATATGTACTACATTTATTATTGTAGATAACAATATGAAATAGCCCATAAACCAACAAAATGTGAGTAAAACTTTGTAATCTATTTCTTTTCTTTCTCCTCACTGACCATACCCAAGAAGGAAGTGGTTCAAGTGGTTTGTGTTTATTAAAAGAAATAACAACATTAGTCCAAAATGTCTACAGAGAACTTCATATGTTAGTTAAGGACCAGAAATTAGACTACAATTGATTTAGATGCAGCAGCTTTTACATGAGTAAAAACTGAAATAAATAAAATGTGACTCTTCTTCTTTGTTTTTGACTCTTAGAAGGAATATAGACTAGCATGGCATTTGAAAATTAAATCTTAGTTCTGCCACTGCAGAAGTCTATAAGCTTGAGTAAGTCACTTCACCACTTTAAGTAATTTCTTCATCTTTAAATAGGGTTAATAATAATATCCACAATGCATACTTGATAAATCAGACAAGGCCATGGCCCTAGACTTCACCAATGAGTCTAGACTCTGGATTCTATTGAGTAATAACCCTGACATTAATTTAGTTCAATCTTTTGTTAAGAACATGCTGGCAAGTATTAATAGAGAGACATGTATGGGGTGTTAAGGGGATTCAGAGTTTGGACACTTAACTCAGCAGAGGAAGGCAAAAGTTAGGCAGATAGAAAAGGGCAAAAGGTGTTGAAAACTACTTGTGAAAAAAACTGAATGCCTGCCAGTCTGGCCCATTCTGAAGATTCAAGTCATTCATTAATCCATCCATCCAATTATTCATTCAAGTTTTACTCTATTATAATAAATTACTCAACATTCCATTCATTCAACACACACATATTGAGACATAGTATGTATAAGGTGTATATTATATCCAAGAGATTTAACATGTTCCCAAGGGGTTTCCAGGCTATTGGGGAAATGGAAATTGAGTCATGAGGAAAAAAAATACTGTAATTCATACTATGGCCATACTATGCACATAATGATGGCAACCACAGAGGAAGAAAGGGCACTTAAACCAGGCTGGCTCATCAGGATGCCTTCCTAGAGGAGATAAAGCCTGAGCTAACTTTAAGGCAAGTCTGGAGGATAACCAGATGAATCAAAGGAGAATGGGAAGAAGAGTCTAAGGTATAACCACACATGAGAAGGTAAAGACAGTTGGAGACTTAAGAAAATACAGGTGTGATTTGTTGGGGGAAGTAGCAGGACTTAACTCTAAAGGGACAATGGAAAGTTGTCCTTCCACCACACTATGGAGGTAGACTTGACTGTGAACTCTACAGAAAGCCACAGAAGAATTTAATTTGGACCCAGCCAAGATTAGACTTGCATTTTAAAACTTTATTTTGGCTGTAAGTGGATCAGGGAAACTGTGGCAATGATACAGTCAATGAATAAGTAAACCATGAAAATAGGGAGGTAATAAATTCTAGAAGATTTTAGAAGGTTGAACAGTACTTTGTGAACAGTTGTTAAGATGGAGTTTAATTGTAGGAGAAACAGGCCCAGGGTGACTTCTGGCTAAAGCAATTAGGAAAAAAATTAAGAACAGCATAACACTTAATAAAAGTTTTCTATGTTCTAGGCATCATGCCAGTTTGTACATATCATTGATATGTACAATAATAATCCTATGAGATTATTATTTAATCTTCATAGTAATTCTATGACATAATTGTTACCACTTCAACCTCAGATGAAGTTTAGAGTCAGAGACATAATTTTCACAAGAGAATCCAAAAAGGCAAAGACAGGTTTTGGATTCAGATGCATCTAACTGTCTTATCTGTCAGATAACAGTATCCTACTATCCATATCATCTTGGGTGGATGAGTCCTCTCACTAAACAAGACAGAAGATTTTGAATGAAGAGCAGGTTTCAGAGGCAACTGGGTATGGAAATGTTGAAGAAAAAGGACTATCCATGTGATTAAGAGGTAAACAAATACTGAATGTTAATGGTGGATCCCAGGGAATAGAGTGAGTGATCACAATGTTGAGGACTTGTAAACAGATAAGATACTGATTGACAAGTGTTTATTAGATTAGGTGACAAGAATTTCAACAGTAGGTAACCTTGAAAAGAACATTTTGGGGGAAATAGTAGGGGGAAAAAATGGTTGAAAAATGGCAATCAGAAAAAAAATTAAATCCAACTTGAAACTCTAAGTGCTGATTTGATGTAAAAGAATGAGCTGTTTTTAAGGGGTAAGCCTTATCAGGGAAGGTTTCCTGCTGGACAAGGCTAGCAAATACATATTTATGGCATCTAGACCCCTGAATAAGGTATTGATATTAATCTTAAAGGAAATGTGGGAAGGTTGCTTGTTCTGTACAACTGACATAATGGATTTACCCCAAGGATTCATCACCAAATTTAGTCCCCAAATCTTCCTCAACTCTTACCTGTTTTATACTACATGGAATCCCAGGGAGGGAAGGGGAGCACGGGGCAGGCAGTAGGGGTAGAGTGGGATCAGGTTCACAACACACGTTGAGAGAATTAAGAAAAAAAAAGCAAATTATATCAAGAAAAAATGTATGTAATTGCATGTATATGTATATCCATATTTATCTATATAAACATCTACTTGTACCTTTAGGATATGTCGCCTGCAAAGATGACAATCTTGAAAATAAGCATCATTTCAATACTTAACTGCCTGTGTTATTTGGATTCCTAAGCTTTGATATTCTAAACTCTGCCCAGTCTAACACCAGGTGTACACAAAGAAAATAAGAAAGTTGTAGGATAAATAGTACTATTTTGAGTTCTTTGAGAAGCATCTATGGAACTGCTTTAAGTAACAAAATGCACAAGAAAGCTTATCTTTCAACCACATAAATTTCAAACAGGTTTACAATTTATTAATAGGTAACAATCCTATGTACTAAGTTCTCCTTAAATTATAAAAGATATCACAATCATCAAAAATTTCAAAATATCTTGTTTAGAAATTGAGCTAGCAGAAATTGTAACAGCTTTGTATTTAAGCTGTTCTTAGTAATATATTTTAATATAACTAATTTTAATCATTTTTATTTGGTCACCTGGAGGTCAGTGACTTTAATCTCAATTTTAACAGTTATAACTGAGAATTTTAAACTATACTTCCTCAGATTTCACTTCAAAGACATAAAGTAATACCAACTGAGCTCTGTGGCTTATTTCATAAGAAATTATGTAACAAGCAACCTTGAAGCTGCAAGAAAAAATTTTTAAATCAGCAATTTTGATATGAGAGAGCAAAGCCTGATTATAGTGAGAGAAAACTGTTTCATTGTTTGAAACTCTTGTGCTATAGTTTATATATAAACTACGTACAAACTGAGTCAGAAACAATAACAAAACTAAATGTTCTCAGAGTATAAATTTCTGATTGATTAATTAGGGAACTTTTTAGGTGATAGGAAAGATTCCAACAAAGACAATAAACAAGAAAGATTTAAAATCAGGGTTTATACCAATTCTGATACTAATTCAAGCTCATTTTTTCTCCAAAGATATTTAGCTTTTCATCTCTTTGTGAACTACCCAAAAGGATACATTCTCCCACAAGGTTTTGGGCATACTCTGTGTCTTGGTTCAGACTGGGTGGCTTAAACAACAAACGTTATTTCTCATAGTTCTAGAGTCCAGGAAGTCCAAGATCAAGGTGCGAGCAGACCTGTTAAGAGCCCTCTTTCTGGCTTGCAGATGGCTATCTTCTCATACATATCATCATACCGCAGAGAGCAGAGAGAGAAGAAAGCCTTCTTCGCATAAGGGCACTAACACCATTCATAAGGGCTTCACCCTCACGACCTAACTACCTCCCAAGGGCCCCCACCTCCTAATACCATCACCCTGGGGTTAGGATTTCAACATATTAACCTGGGGTGCATGTAAACATTCTGTCCACAACATCCTACATTATTTTTATTTTAGGCTACCTTAAAAGTGGCCTAGCGCCATAGAAATTTGCCAGATCTGTTTAGTGAATCTCATTCAACCCTGTCACCTCAGAAAGCTTGCCAGCAAAGCTGGAAAGTTTATATCGTTCATCTGGTCACCTTATGTCTTCTTATTCCTCCAGAGAGATCTTCCCCAGACCTCCACAGAGGCTGCCAACATTTCTTTCCAGGTACTGGAAAGCTGGTACTATGAGAGCTCTTCTGCTGCCTAAGTCAGCCCTGGTGATAGCCCTTCCAGACTCTGTGCTGTTACCCCTTTAATTCCTCATGAGCTTGGGAGCCTTGGGAGAGACTGAGACTCAGGAGCACTTAACACAATGCAAAGTCTTGCCTTGGCATCCTAGCCCCAGTGTCTGAACAGCTCTTTTATACTCAAGCCCTCTCA